TAATATATAAAGCAGAAGCGCTAAAACCGTTGTAATCGCTAACCGCGAAAACTACTGAACCGATTTGGCTGAAATTTTGCATACCGATTCTTGACACTTCCTTGATGGTTTTAGTATGGTTTTTATCTTAAAAAATTTAATAACAATAGCAATAAACAAGCTCAAAGTTTTGCAAAAATACGCCTGCTTTTCACTTTAGTTCAGTAGGATCCGCTAGGTGGCGTNGCTGAAATTTTGCATACCGATTCTTGACACTTCCTTGATGGTTTTAGTATGGTTTTTATCTTAAAAAATTTAATAACAATAGCAATAAACAAGCTCAAAGTTTTGCAAAAATACGCCTGCTTTTCACTTTAGTTCAGTAGGATCCGCTAGGTGGCGTCGAGGTAAAATTTAAGTCACCCGCAATCAATGATAGTGAAGAGTGGTTATAAGTTGCCCCGCTGAGACGACGATTTTCGTAGTCGTTTTTCGGCAGTCCTGTAAGAACAAAGAAGTTTGTCGTAAAGCTGGGCATCCCGGCTACCGCTAACACTTTTCATTCATGGACAAGCGAAATACATCGGCTGTTACCCCGAATCGCCAAAATAACCGAGTGCCACGGAAGAATAGGCGTTCAAAACATCAACGTCTCAGGCGAAATACCAGGAGACGTCCGGCCAGAGCTCAACCTGCTTCACCAACACTACAAGGTTTAGAAGCTCTTCTTCCATCCAACCTGGTCCTAGAAAAGCAAGCCAAGCAGAACAACCATGAGGAGCGTGAGCAGTAGATCGTGATCCGGGGAACGACCCGGAAACGAGATTTTGTTCGGCCATCTACATACCTTCCTCTAGCGCGTTCACCTTTTGCAGAGACCCCAAGGGCAAGAACGAAGCAACCTCGGGTCCAGATACCGGAGCTCCGCGATCCCCGTCGACTGAGCAGAGTAAAGCGGCAAATATTTGCCGTTTGTCGAACGCCTGATAAAGCGTGTCAAATAATTGACCCTCACCAGCTCTCCATCGTTAGGAAAAAAAAAAATTAAGATAAAAATCGGCCCTTTTCAGGGCCATCAATAAATTTTACCGTAAAGTAACTTTCAATCTCATCGGTCTTTTTAAGAGCCATTAAACGTTAAACTACTTTTCTAAAAATAGATCTGTCCTTTGCTGGGAGACATCGAGAGCAGAGCTGTTTGTCGTGAGTCTGGGAACCCCGGCCACCGACGACTTTCTACACTCGAATTACATAGGCCAGAAATTACTTTTCCTCCAAGATTAGCGTTCAGCTAACTTGGTCAATTTAATCGGCCCTTTTCAGGGCCATTAAACGTTGAACCACTTTGCCAAAAATAATCTTATTTGTACTTTTAGACAAATGTCTTTTAGCGAATTGCAACGATTCGTCCAACAGAGATCTATTTAAAGACAGCTGATTCCAAAACTAAGTCAGTCATTTACTGGCAGACATCGAGAGCAGAGCTGTTTGTCGTAAGTCTGGGAACCCCGGCCACCGACAACTTTTTACACTCGAATTACATAGGCCAGAAATTACTTTTCCTCCAAGATTCGCGTTCAGCTAACTTGGTCAATCTCATTGGCCCTTTTCAGGGCCATTAAACGTTGAACACCTGCCAAAGTATATATTGTAATTGACAAAATGTAACAAACACAGCACTTTTAAGGGCGCGCAAAAATTTTTAACAATGCCTTGAATCGCAAGAGGACAAATCGGGAGGAGAACTTCTAATGCTTTAAATGTTTACAACTTTAGGAGTCGAGAAACTGATGCAGAACATTCATCGAGAGTAGAACAGCAACGGCAAAATCGACGATTGATCAACCATTTAAGTGACAGATCCGCTTTCTGTTACAATCCTGACATTGATTACTTAAATCTTCCATCAATTCAAATTGGCGGAATGGTTTCTATTTGCACTCATTGTGGCGCTAAAAAATGGAGAGATGAAGCTCCAGGGCTCTGTTGTTCTGGTGGTAAAGTTTCCCTTGATCCTCTGGAAAATCCTCCTGAATTGGTAAGATGTCTGTTAATGGACGAACACCC